TCCGCAAAATTTATTTTTTTCGAAATTGTCATCTACAAAATAAATCATACCGTCATATCAACATACACAGTCAATCAAAAAAAGTATTTTATATTTAAAAGTTTAAAGAAATTTTGAGTAATGTGTTTTAAAATTATAAAAAAAAACTTATATCTTGCTCGTTATGTTATAAGGAAGAGAATATCTCGTATCGTAAGAATATTATACATACCTGTATTGATATATTTTTTTCAGGGAAAAGGCATTATTTTTTCCTATGATTTATTTTTTATAAAAAAAAATCAAGGACGCCAATTTGAAATATTTTACAAGATCCTAAAAGGCCGAATTTTAGCAAAATGTTATTCATTGCCCAAAACAAACAATTACGCAAAGTTTCTTGAAAATAGGAGAGGGTCAATTCAAAAATTCATTTTTTTTTCGCTATTTTTTCTGGAGCTGCTCATCGTGAAAGCATCTTATGTTCCAGAATCTTGAAAATTTTTCAATGTCCGGAATATTAGTTATTTTAAGTCCTGAAAACCGTAAAATAAATCTCTACTGATCTTAAAGATTTGTCTTAATCCAGAACTTTTCCAAGCATGAGATAATTAAATTTAAAAATTTAACATAAACTCCAATCCAATTTGAATTAATTTGGATTTTTTTAGAATTATTTTATAAATTTCCTTACAATCAACTAAAACCTTTGTCACAGTTTATTTAAGGTATTCCATTACGATTTAATATAGTACAGAAATTCTCTATAGAACGCTCTTTGATGCACCCTGTAATTCTCATAAAATTCTTAACAATTCCTAAAAATTTACATGGTTTTTTTTTTTCTAAAATTCCCATGGAATAATTTTCGGAATTCCCTCTTTATTCCGCTCAGAATTTTCATAGAGTAGTTCCATGAATTCCTTGCAGTGGTTCTTAGAATTCCCTAGGAACTCTTCTTTGAGTTATCTAAAGATGATTACAGGAACAACCTTGAACCTCTCCATAGTATTCCTTTGAAATTTATTTCAAAACTTCGTTGGAAATTTCCTTGAAACTATCATCAAAACATTTTTGAAATACTACTAACACTAACAAGACAAGACACAACACTACTAGTTACTACAACGATAAAATGAATTAAAATTTTCTGTCGACCAGTTTCGGACTTGATGCTGCCAATTTACGGAACAATGTTCGAGTGTTGTGTAGTTTTTACGTTAGTACAAAACATTAAAACAAATAAGTAAAATACTCCTAAGAATGCCTTTGGAATTATTGGATTGCACCATTGGCGCCGGGCTCTTTTTTCCTTTGGTTTGTTTTTCCGTCGATCTTGTTTTCCGTGCTGAGCACCAATGCTACCGACGCGCCAGGAAGGCAGCTCCCACACCTGGACCCTACCTATCGACCCTTCAACTCATGAACCGGGGACCAGCGGCTTTACTTCCCTTCCGAAGGAAGGCGTGATGAGAGATGTTATGCCTGAACCCAGGCCTGCTAGGGTGAGAGGTAATCACGCGTCGGGCTCTGGTAACGATGTGACAGATGCGATCCACAAAAACAGCCGTCACTGTCCTGCGCCACTACTACACAATGTGTTTTTGTTTTCTTACAATTTTATTTTATTTTTTTGAATTCGTAGAGTTTTGTTGTCCCAGTTTTTGTAATTATAATGTAATTGTTCTGTGTATTATTTAAAGGAAGAAATAATGTATTTTGTTTATCGTACTACCTCCGAGCAAGCAATAAAAATGGTAAATAATTAAAAGAAGATAGGTGTTTTTATTCGTGCTCCAAAACGGATATTCGAGTTTGCTTATCTACCCCAAATTACTCAAAACATAACGTAGGGCTGTATCCTGGCCGAAACAGGAATTCTACTTAAAAGTACCTTGAAGTTCTCCTCAGAATTAACTTTCAATATTCCTTACAAATCCCTTAGAATAGTCTCCTCAAAATTACTTAGCAGTTTTAATCAGACCTTTTTTTGAATTCAATTGGAATTGCCTTGGAATGCTCCTCAGAATTCAATTGTAATTTTACTTTGAATCTACTACATTGGAGAACTCCTTTGGAATTCTCCCCGTACAGACTATATCTTATATCACATCATATTATATATAGGCTGTCTTGCAATGAGCACTCACACATCAAATTTTGACTGGAAATCCTATGTATGAGTGCTCATTGCCAGACAGCCTATATAACATGATATAAACCATAGTCTGTACGTGGTATTACGTTTAATCTGGAGTCTGGAGCTCCTCCGAACTAATTGGAAAATCCTCAGATTTCACTTTCCTAAAATGCCATCCTTTGATATTATTCCTAGAGTAGTTCCACGTTCCACTTGACCTTCTCCGATTTGCATACAACCTTGTATAATTGTGTGTTATAGCCAATAATACACATTTTTACAAAAAATCCAACTTTTTTAGCATTGAAATTTTTCCAAAATGGCGTCTTTGACATTTTCAATATATTGAAGCACGAAAACGTCACTTCTGATCGAAATGACGTCTGAAACAAAATTGTAGAGAAAAATTATGTTCTTCTGGGAAAATATAGATGGTATTTTTTTAATAATTTTAAGTAACAATTCCAAAAAAGTGTAAAATCTCAAATATCCCAAAATTACATCTTCAATTTTTATGTATAACGGGTGTTCAATAAAAAATGAAAATGGAAATGGAAAATGGAAATGGAAAATGGAAAAATTTTTACAACGAATTCAGTATTTTTTATTAAAAACATAATATATATTCTACAAAAAAAACGTCAATGCATATTGGAGAAGGGGCCCTGGTCAGCCGTACGACGCAACTTAGTCTGCGATGCTCTCACAAGAGCGCTGGACGGCACTGAAATCATTCTCATTTTTTATTGAACACCCGTTACATAAAAAAAAAACTCATGAAAGCTGCAAACTTTTGAAGAATTCAAAATCATTGACACTTTAGAATTTACGAAAGTCGTTAATCAAAAACTTATAGTAGATTTTTGGACTTTTTGCACTTTTTAATGTAATTTCTACACAGAAAATAATATTTGAGTAAATTTCGTTAACTGTGCAAAAGGTACATAAAAAAGCTTGCTAACAATGGTTTGAAAATATGGCTAGAAGTTGATGTTCTATGATTTTCAGGTGTCCATAGTTTTAAGTGCTTCATAGGTTTGCATTTTCATTAGCTATTTTTTAACAATAAATTACAAATATTGAAGATGCTCTATTTGAGATAATTTAGTTTATAACACAATTTTTTTGAAATGTTACTCAAAATAACTAGAAACAAAAATTAGCGTGTATATTTTTTACAGAAGGACTTTTTGTTTTTTTATCAACTTTCGTGTTACAATTTATTGAAAAAGGTCAAAGATGCCATTTTGATAAAAAAAAAACTATATGCTTAAAAATGGCCGATTTTTTTTTCAAAAATGTAAATGTATGTTGTGTTGCCCATAGCACACAATTATGCAAAGTTCAATGCAAATCGGAGATGGTCGAGTTAAATTTTTTATCTTATTTGGCCCTTGAAAGATCCTTAGAAAATCTCATCAAATTTATTCATTAAAGTTAATAAGCCTAAAAACTTTTACAAGGCCCTCAATTTATTTGAAATCTGGGTTCTTGGAATTCATTCTATGTCCACATATGATTAGAGTCCATGATATCAAAAAATTGTCTAAGTTTAATATCTGTAGAAATTATCCATGTTCCAGAACTTTAAAAAAATATAATTGAAGGAAGTAAGGTGGAAGGTACCCGGTTCATGAGTTTTCCAGGTTTTTACTAGAAATACTCAGGGATAGCAATTCGGCAGCAGGGTTTTTTATGTAAATTATCTTGCAACCCTTGCTAAAAGATAGCATTTCACATGAATTTTCTTTTCGATTCGATGTACGTGCAAAATAATAATTGAGTGCATCGCAATATTTCTTGGTGCCATTAATCAACCGATAAAAGTCAGTTAATCAATAGAGTTAGAATATTATTTTGAATTCTATAAACTAGTCTGAGAAGTACTCAAAAAATAAAGGTGATTGAATTTCATTTTGATTACAATACTCTCAAATATGATCTTGTAAGAATAAGAAATCCTCGGAAAAAAATCTAACGGAAATGTTCGATTGGGTCAAATTTTGACAGTTCATTTGGCTCAAATCATTCTCTCCGCTCATCTCTTCCAGAGAGGATTTCTAGTTTTTACAAGGTAGTAGACAGGATGTCGATCATTTTGGATTTTTAGAAGAAAAAAACTGATATTATATATTTGCAAAATGCAGTATTTATTGACAAAAACCATAACAATCCTTAAGGTGTTCGTCTTACCCCGGTTTCCCAAACTGGGTCACGAAATCCTAACGGATGTCCACATCGCCCTGACCTTGTGATCCACGACAAAAGGATGATTGATATCCCTGTACCGGTGTATCGGAATTGTTCGCAGTATCCTTCTTCGTTCCTTTGAAGCTCTGCAGCTACGAAGAGAACTGAACACTCGAAAAAAAATCCGTCCCAATATTCGTGACCGAGAGCCGTGACCTATAGTTTACGGTGTACATTTCCTTTTACGCGCGGACCGTGAGCTACGGCTGCCATTCATGAATGTGAGAACGGATTTTTGCCGAGCAGCATTCAGTTCAGCGGTTCCTGAATCATCGTTACTGAACCAACCGAAGCTTACAAATTAGAATGTAAGCAAACTAGCAAACGAGATCCACAGGGCTAGACACTTTTCAGAACTCTATAAAATTAACTATTTATTCAAGGACTCTCTTCAACAGCTTTAAAACCCCATGAAGGATTTTCAAGAATCATTATTTTGAGTGTCTTACAGCAGATATTTGATCATAAGGTATTCATTAAGTGCTGTCCATTGAACGAGTCATCTTGATTTCAAATAGAAGAGAACACCCACTCAAGTGTAAATAAATTTCAATCAACCATTACATCAATTGAAGCTTAGTCGTAGTTACACTCAATAGAACAACCTTTCCATCGTTCTCTTTACTTCCAGTACAAACAGAAACATGCCATCCTAGTCGAAACAGCACTTCTGAAGGAAATGCCCGATGCACTATCGTCTCCATTTCCAGAGCTGTTCTACATCCAAGCCAAACTGGCCAACATCAAGGTAAGATAAACAGTTTTGTTCTGCCTTCTCTGTCCGTATCGATTCTGGAGCATTCTTCCGAGATAATACCCACTACATCTCCATAGCCTCCTCCGATCCATGTACCTCACCAAATTGACACGGACACGGGGAGAAAGTTTATCCAGAGGGATACTTAGCATTCCATTACCGTACCGAAGATTTTGGTTTTATACTATCCGGATCAACCGGACGAGCTCGGACGTGTTCCCGGGACGATGATTTCCGTAATGACTATTTGCCAGTGCCAGGCATTTAATCCCTGACCGGCAGCTGTGCTGTTTTATGCTAGTGGATGCTGAGTTAAAGTCACACAGATGACAACCACACGCACCACACCCACAAACACGAACATTCCAATGCATATGAGATGCTTTTCTTGTTCCGGTTCGGATCGGTTGGTTGTACGTTGCTAGCATGCATATGAGCTCATCATCACTCCCCAGATCGATTAAACTTTCATCCGTTCGACGACACTTGCTTGTGCTGATGGGGTTCTTGTTTTCAGTCAGAAGGGTGGGTTTAGAGTCATGATGACATCTTTAGACAAGCTGGAATTTTCTCCTTTTGCTTGTATGTATAAGCTTTGTTAATCTTATCACGTAACATTCGTAGAATGAATTGTAAATGGGTTATCCTAAACTTAATTACATTTTAAGCTTAACAAGGCAAAAGATCGTTTCAGCTACTAAATTATATCTTATTTTATCGAAAATTGACATAAATGTGAATACATGACTGTATTGATTCAAAGAGATTCGATCACCCATCGTTGATTTTTTTTTTCAAAATTCTATAGAGTTGTCTTGTGATTCTAATGTTCTTAATGAAAATTTCACCTTGCTTATTCTTAATCCAAATCCAAGCATACCAGATTATCCGGTAATCCGAACCGTATATTTTTAATTAATTGGTTCGTCCGCTTTGCATCATAATAAACTTGTGTAGAATAATCAACATATAACATAAAGTCAAGTTAAAATTTACGTGCGGTCTTGAGCACAGTAGGCCTTGAATGTGTATGGACTTATGTGCTAAGCACATAATTTAAGTAAGGAAGAAACGTTAATATCTCGTATACATTATGAATATCTCGTATGCATTATCTTAATGAATCCATTTCCATTCCATTTCCATTCCATTTCCATTCCATTTCCATTCCATTTCCATTCCATTTCCATTCCATTTCCATTCCATTTCCATTCCATTTCCATTCCATTTCCATTCCATTTCCATTCCATTTCCATTCCATTTCCATTCCATTTCCATTCCATTTCCATTCCATTTCCATTCCATTTCCATTCCATTTCCATTCCATTTCCATTCCATTTCCATTCCATTTCCATTCAATTTCCATTCCATTTCCATTCCATTTCCATTCCATTTCCATTCCATTTCCATTCCATTTCCATTCCATTTCCATTCCATTTCCATTCCATTTCCATTCCATTTCCATTCCATTTCCATTCCATTTCCATTCCATTTCCATTCCATTTCCATTCCATTTCCATTCCATTTCCATTCCATTTCCATTCCATTTCCATTCCATTTCCATTCCATTTCCATTCCATTTCCATTCCATTTCCATTCCATTTCCATTCCATTTCCATTCCATTTCCATTCCATTTCCATTCCATTTCCATTCCATTTCCATTCCATTTCCATTCCATTTCCATTCCATTTCCATTCCATTTCCATTCCATTTCCATTCCATTTCCATTCCATTTCCATTCCATTTCCATTCCATTTCCATTCCATTTCCCTTCCATTTCCATTACCATTCGGCTTGGTGACCATTCGACCCAATAACCATTCTACTTAATGACCATTTAGTCTAATGACATTCGGCCTAATGGTCGGATATCCTAAAAAAAACCGTGACATCTGAGAATTGAAAAAAATGTCATGAAAAAAATGGAGCATCTAGCAGGTATTTTTTTTTCTCATATAACTAATAGGGAGTCCGAGGAATGTGATAAAATATAAAAGGGTTGAAATGAAATGCGAAGAAAAAGAAGAAGAAGAAGACGAACCGACGTAACAACTCATAGAAGCTTTATTAATATTCTTGCCCAAGACGCCACGTTTTTCACGGCCAAGGATAAGTTCAGCGTTCCGGAGCATGTCCGCACTCAGAAGATGTCCAAATTTGCGAAGAAATTCCTGGTTTGGCAAGCCATCTGCACGTGCGGGAAGCGGAGTGCACCTTTCGTGACCCAGGACACGATGAACGGACAGGTGTACATAAAAGAGTGCCTCCAGAAGCGGCTGCTTCCTCTCCTGAAGGCCCACAACGTCCCAACAATCTTCTGGCCGGATTTGGCCTCATGCAACTACTTCAAGGACGTGCTGAAGTGGTATGCGGACAATAAGGACAATTTCGTGCCGAAAATGTTCAACCCTCCCAACACTCCGGAGCTCCGCCCCATCGAGAAGTACTGGGCGATTATGAAGCAGCACCTTCTTAAACGACCTAAGGTAGTGAAGACAGTCGAGGAACTGAAGAAAGTATGGGTTTACATGCAAAAAACGGTTGATTCACAGGTTGTGCAGAATCTTATGGCCGGGGTTAAGGCCAAGGTGCGGGCATTTGCGTATGGACTGTAAATAAAATACGAGTAAAATGGTAAAATGAAGTTTAATAGTTATTTCTCAATCCCTGAAAATTTGATGGCAATCGGATGAAAACTCGAATTTTGCGAATCAATTTTGTGTGTGGCAATTTCATCGTGGACACCCTTTATGTTAAACACTACCCCCATCTACCCATCTGACTGCGTCATATCGTGAGTAAGGACACGGACACTCGTAACATTTATATTGTGTTGGTTTGTGTCTCACCTCGTTTGACAGATCTGATCATCCGTTCGACAGATCGAATTTCCCATTTGACAACAAGGCTTTCGGTGAAATGGCATTCGGCCAAATTTTCCATAGTAATTTTTTTCGCCCCTCCCTAGCTCGAAACCTGGCTACATCCTTGCTCAGAGGTTGCCTTGGTCAAGAAAATATTGTTGTGCCTATAGATACTATAGATTCCATAGATAAGCGGAGGCGAAGTAGAATGTAGCCAAACGAACCGTCAGTTAGCCAAATGAGCATGACGTCATCATGATGTTTTTTGTGGAGAAAGTATTGTAATATTATAAGAAAAATTATTGTATATTTTCATTTCGTTTTAATTTTTATCTTGAGTATTAAATTAAATGAGTTAATTAAAAATCGAAAGGATGCATTTCCATACCCGACAATCTTACGCTGCAATTACGGTGCTGCCCGATTGGATTCCGATTTATTTTGCGAAAACGTAAGAAGCAAATATTACGCAAACCACTCCTCGACTGATTATTGCAAAGAATTGCTTTGCACTTCAGTTTCACCTTTGCGTTTGAAGCAAAATAAAACAAAACTGCACAACGAAGAGCTCTTTTATGGCATGAACATTTTTCACGGATGCCAGTAAGAGCATTTATATTTCATGGCTGCCAAAAACACTTTTGTGCCTCCGCTCATCTATAGAATCTATAGTATCTATAGTTGTGCCAACATTCAAATTCATCCAGGTAGTTGGCCTATCTGTTAAGGTTTTCTTCATTGTCAGCAAAGTTGAGTGTAGAAGAAATGATTTTTATTAGATCTGGGTAAGATCAAAGGGTTGGTCACTCCGCACAGTGTGCCAAAAACAGATTTGGGCACACCTACACTCATTAAATTTGACAAATTTTTATTGGCGAATTTCCATGTAAAATTCCTCATGATTTTCATGTGTCCACACATAAACAGAATCCACTCATAAGTTGTGAGTCAAACTAATAGTATGTGTGGTTAAACATGAATTTTATGTATACACATAAGAATTATGTGTCCGACATGTTTCATTTGTTTATCACATTGCAAAAATTCATGTGTGGGATCCATAAATATAATCATTGATTTTTTTATTAATGTAGGCACATTCATGGGCACTGTTTGGCACCCATGGTTGGACATTTTTATGTTATTTAGAGTTTATGGCAATACTGCACTACTTCTGCGCGTTGTTAACACAATCCAATTTTTGGAAACGGCAACAACCGCAAATTTTCGTCTAGTGTCACCATAATTTCCTCAAAATACAGTAAGCTCAGTGCAGGTTGGGCTTAATGTGTTCTTTATGAGTAGAGAGCAACTGATTGTGGACATAAGTCCGGAAGGTCAATTCTCAATCTAAAACATTTTAGCAGCCAGAAATACCATCCGACTGGAGCTGCTCGTCATGATACTGCGCTGTTATTTTACACGCTATTTTAAAACTACCTAAATTTAGGTAGAATCCACCCAGATCAGTCAAAAATGAACCTACTCAAAAATGGGTAAACTATGTTGGGAGTGACAAGTTCACAAATTGACAACATCGACATGAATTCGATCGACTTTGTTCATTTGTCAACTTGTCACTCCTAACACAGTTTACCCATTTTTTGGGTAGTTTCAGTTTTGACATATCTGGGTGGATTCTACACAAATTTGGGTAGTTTTGAAATAGCAAGTAAACCTGATTTCTTCCATGGAGGCTGCTACCAACAATCAATACGAAACTATCGATTTTAAATTGGCTCACTACTTGACTAGCCTATTGGTCCCAAGCAAATCGATTAACGTACCCCATTCTAGTCGAAATTCTAGCACTACACAATGTTTGTTTTGATTTGCCATGAAAGTTTGACAGATAAAATGAGGGGTTCGTGGATTTTCCTATGTTTCGAGGGGTGCATCGATTAGCTTGGGACCGAAGATAGTACCAGAGCTGAGCCAAAAAGCTGAGCACTTTTCATCGGGACCTACTAGTTTTAGAGTTACCTCTATGCTGCTACCGCTGCTAAACCAGTTATTCCACCATCCAGCATAGACAGTTGCAACGAGGTTTAGCAAATCTTGGTAAATTCCGAGGCAAAAGGTTTCTCAGATCGCATATTCCCGGTATTATTCTTTTAGATTTCAGCAAGAAAAACAAAACATTCTAACCGTCAGAAAATCGGGTTTCCAAGGCACACTGAGAAAAAAGTTGGCACTAAATAAGTGTGTAGAGCGACTACCCCTTGGGTAGGATATATGATAAAGATGGAGAAAAACACCCCCGTGCCAACACATTCTTGAATACATAACAAAGAGGAAGAGGCCTGGAAGAGAGTACCAAGCAACGGATGTAAAAACCACTCACCGGAATGATGTTTAAAAAATCAATTTAATCGGGTATGGCACCTCTGATATGCAATTTTTTTAAAATAAAAAGATTGTCGTGGGCTTTTACGTGCGATATCGTTAGATATGTTTTGTAACACACACAAATGTGATATCACGTTTTAGCCCCCATATGTCACATATTGCGATTTTTCTTCGAGCCTCCTCCCCTCAAACGCATGACGTAATGTATGGATAGCCCCTTACTGAAACATGGATATTAGGGTGGGTCAAGTTTGTATGATGCATCACAACCCCACTACTCATTCGATGTGGTCCCCTACAACGGTGTCAAATTTGAACGAATTTGGTTATTATCTGGATTTGTGGGATAATTTTAAATTTTATATGGGAAAATGTTTGGGAACGGAACGGAATGTATTCATTTTCTTGCCAAAAATTACAATATTGCTCAAATTTCACCGGAAATAGAATGGGAATACTATGCAGAACAATTTTGCCGAAGACTGGAAAACGATTATACTTCTGAGAAAACAGTTATTCAACCATTCAATAGCAAAACGATATAGTGGTTCTCAGATTTTTTTTCCTTATCGCTAAATATTAGATTCGTATTAGTTTGTCATTAGAGTGACCATTTCCATGTTAGGCTGGTCGACATGAAATTGGCGCAAAATTGACTTTTTCAAAAATTCATAACTTTTGAACCACTGGGCCGATTTCAAAGATCAAAATTTCAAATAAAAGGTAATTTAAAATACATTTTTGAAAAAAAAACGTTGATTTATAGCAATTGTAACGTGGTCATGACGCATGATAATCTAGTCGCATCGGAGTATTGAGCAAAAACCCAAAACTTGATAACTGCAAAAAATTATAACTCAAAATCGAAAAAAAACACATCTATGTTCAAAATGTTCGTGGAAAAATTGCTTTTACATTTTTCCATGAATCGCGCCCTCTACCTACAAACCATGAAAACCACAAAAAAATACAATCAATGTTTTGCAATACAAAATCCCAATTTTTTCATAAAGTTTTATTTTTTGTATTTTTTTTTTAAATTACCATTTATTTGATATTTTGATCTTTTAAATCGGCCTTTTGGTTCAAAAGTTATAATTTTTTGAAAAAGTCATTTTTGAAAAAAGTCATTTTTGAAAAAAAAATATTGTTTGGATCACCTTTACATGCCAATGGTCATCCTAGTGACAAAATAAAAAAAATACGGATCTAATATTTTGCGACAAAGAACGAAACTACCATTTTCTACGAAATCCTGAGAACCACTATATAGTTTTGCTATGGAACGGCTGTATTATTATATTAATTTACACCTATCGCTCTGCGCATGACTACACGCATATAAACTCAGAAAAAAAATCATTTAAATTTAGGTGCTCTGAGACTGACATATACGAGCGTCAATTTTGACATAAAATTGAATCATAACAAACGTGAAATTCAACTTAATCAAAAGTACTTTTCATCGAGTAACAAACTTTTCAGTCTCGGAGCACTTAATTTTATACGAAATACTTGTTTACGTCTGATCCTTTATGTCAAAGATGGATTCCGTCACGTGTAAAATTAGTTATTTCTAAGTGTGTATATATGAGCTTGTAGGCACGTGTAAAACACTTGGCCTAAAGTGAAAGATAAATAGCTTTTTGTACAAAGATCCAATCGAATTCAGTCGTCGACAAAGTTGTTTTGTTTAGTATTCTCATTCTATGTCCGAGATTTGGTGAAATTTTAGCAATATTTGAATTTTTGATTAGTAAATTATTAGGATTGTTCCATTTCTTATACATTTTCCCATACAAAATATAAAATTATCCAGCAAATCGAGATTTAAACCAAATTCGTTAAAAATGTGTACACTATTTAGTCCACAACACGCATTGAAAGAGCAGTGATGAACAGAGGGTTGTAATATTGACCCACCCTAATGGACATTGCCGTTTTTAAACATGCCATATTATTTTCCAAAAGGATCTTATTCATTCAAAGTTCTTTTGAGCTAGGGACTGTTGACAAAAATACGTTAAAAGTTGTCGAGAGCATTTGGACACCTTCTGTCCTGGATGTAAACACTTGACAACATCCCATCTAAACCTAAGAGGAAGAGGAGACAATAGGGGGCATTTTCTGTCAAACACGAACCAGCGTCTTACTGGTCGGGTGAACGTATAGAAACGCGAGAATTTTTACAACAGGGAATATATTTTCTTGCATTTTGACAGTAGACTGCGTCGCCCATAATGAAATAGTTTTTGCACGGTCGTTTCCGCGAGAGAAGACAAACACGACACAGACAAAAAGAAGCCAGTTGTCTCCTCTTCCTCTTAGATCTAAACCAGGCCCAATAAAATTTTCAAAGCCTCCTATCGGTGTTCGATGCAAATGTTTCAAGCAGCTTTTTGTTTGTTTCGTTATCATTATGGCCAAAACGCATATTCCTGAAGACAACCTTCCCTCAACTATCCATTTGGTTTGAAGACAGTCGCTTAGGGTTTCATCCTTGAAATCAATATTTAATGCAGCATGAAGTCTTCTCTCTTAAAAACGTTCTGCTCTTTGCTGTCCTTTGCTCCTTAAATTCCTTAAATCATTCGTAAAAAGTTCGCATCCGCTTAACCGCAAGCCAAAAACTATTCCCAAGCATTAGATATAACGAAAAAGAGTTAACTCCGCTTCGCTCTATATGCACTGCACTCTGAACAAGCTTCATTCCCATTCTAAACCGAAACTTTCCCACATTGGCTTTGCAAAGTGATAAATAAGCTCTCTAATGTTCCCACGACGAGTCCTCACAGACTCCGTGTTCTTTCGTTTCCTCCAAGCCAATAAAATTGCTTAAGCCGCTCCACTTTCTTTTGAAGTGGGCTGATTGGGCTGGCACACAAGGCACCCATTTCCGTTCGTCTGCTTCTACCGTCTTCGGTCGATATCCTTTGCTGCGGTTGCGGTGCTCCAACTGCTCCGACCGCGGTGGATATTGATGTGAGGAGAAGCCCTTTTCAAACCGCAGATCCGCCACCACACCAACTGCAAACTGAGACCTTTTTCTTCTACGAAACGGAATGTTCCAATAGTAAAGTTGTCGGAGATTAGAGACGAGATAAAAGGAAATTTAATATTTAATTTTTTTTTGGCACTGCTGTAGCTGGTTGATGTTCGCGCTTTCACGGAAGATAGGACGAAGGCGAGGAGGGTCTTTTCATTGTGTAGCAATTTAAGATGATGGAGAGAGTGATGAAGGGAAGTGGGTGGGTGTGACTGGAAATTACAATTTCGACGACCCTGAATATAGCGGCTGAAGCTTGAACAAGGGCAAGCGATATGAGCCAAGTGCTCTGTGTGCTGGTTACATTCTGGCTCCTGAGTGGCATGTTTATGATTGTATTTTTAGCAGAATTAATCTTTCCAGAGAAGTTACATTTGCCTTATGGCACGAACGCAGAGGAGCGAGCAGGGCTTTTGGATTAGCTGACGAGGCCACGTCTCGAATTAGGCAAATGTATGTGCGTACGATGCCTGCCGGAAATATGGTTGACATTAGGAACGATTAATTTCAACGTGAATTGCGCTTTAAGAAGATTGTCCTGTGTCACACATTTTATGCGAGTCGTTAATAACAGCTTGTGGGTTGGCGTTCGCGGGTTATTCAGAATTTCTGCAGCGCATGCTTTCACGGTCATAATTAATGAGCATAATGAATATTCAGAAGAAGAAGAACAATATGTCTCATACATTTTGGTGATTTAACGCATACAACTCAATTAGCTTTGAAATGATACCTATGAGGATTTCAGTTGTTTTATTGGATGCTGAAGGCGGCCCGGTTCAGTCGAGAATCCGTTGGTGTTGGAATTTTCTTTGACTTCCGTGGGCATATAATATCATTGAATAGGATGTTTAAAACAATAGAAATCTGCTTGGTTTGTATTTTGTTGGACGAGAAGGCACACGCAAAAAACGTTTTATTTTTATTTAATAAAAATTAAACTTTGAATTTAACCCAAGCAACACTTTCACCAATGTCCCACACGTATGGAATCATAAAGATTCAATAGAAGGAAAAAAATCGATTCCAAATAGAATGGCCTAAATTGCTTATATCATACATACACGTTCAAACCACCCGACACCGGAAGCAGCATATCACACCGTACAATCTGTCCGCCAGCTCCATTCCAATATCGTTTCATTTTTTTCCCTCGATTCTTCTCTTTCCAGAAAGTCCTACTGAATGCATCGTTCCAGGACGGCAAAAAACTCTACACCTCCTACCACACCAAGACCAAGCGGCGCAATTTGCGTAAGGACCAATTCAAAGCGCTCTATCGCAAGCTGCAAATCAAAAAGGTGGTCCACAAAAACTACCTGTACGACAAGTCGAAACTTGCCAAGCGGAAACTGATCAAGAGCTTCGAGCATAACAATCAGACCATTTCGCTGCTGACGGAAATCACCTTCTACGGGTGCGAGAAGCAAACCAAGAGCTGCATCGGGCAGGTGTACAACTCGCAACCGTTCTACACGTACCTGGGCCGTCACACTCCGCCCTGCTGTCTCGATAAGCTGAAGGCCATCTTTCGGCACGTACTCGAAGAGTTTGAGAACGTCGGCATCCGGTACTGGTTGGATAACTATGCCCTGAAGAATGCCATCGAGTTGAAAGCCCTCTCGCCGGATGCCTACGAAATCGACGTCAGCTTCAATAGCGATGATGTCCAACGGTCCATCGCCATGCGGAAGGCGCAAACGAAACCGTACACGGATGGCGACGGGTTCCACTGGTTGAAGGCCACCGACGGGCACTACTTCCGGGTCCAATACTCGAAGGCTAATCAAATTGCGGTCAATTTACTGCCGTTCGACCTCAGCGGAGAGGTGGTACGGCCGAACGGATTCTACGGCTGGAAGGCGAAGAAGTTTTCCGTGGAATTTTTGCACCCGATGTCAACGGTGCTGTTTCTCGGCAAGCCTATTATGTGCCCGAACAATGTGATGGAGTATCTGGAGACTAAGAGTATTAAATAAGTGGGGGGGGGGGGGAGAGGTTGGAATACGTTGAGTTCCTGTGATAGAACGCGGTGCTGTATGGATTCCATGCTTGAGTGGATTTGATGGGGTGGGAGGGGGTAAGCAAGTGAAAGACACTCGACTGTATGTGTACATAACTAAGTAGTTAGCGCTAGAGACTTTGGAAATTAGATTTTAGCGGATAAATCTCTGTGAGTATTTGTAGAGTGGGTAGAGATGCTGCGTTCGTTGTCTGGTTCTGTTTATGTAGACCATTGTTTATTAGGTATATTAATGTAGATTACGGGACAGGTGCTTTCATGCTAATGAAGCTTTGTACCCGTGAGGAATTGTGCAGAGACCTAGGAAACACTCGAACTAAAGGGCTATGAACTGAAAATTGGAACTGGAATGCTGCGGTCGTCGAGAGTCATCTTTCGAAATGGAATTCGAAATTTTTGAACGCTTGTTCCCAGTAAATTAATAGCACATGATTTTGATGGCATTTTACCAGAAAACAATGTGCCATTTCGGTTTACTCCATTCCATATAGGGAAAAGTTCTCTAATGTTGGCATATGGATCTAAAAACTGGGCCCATCGATAAAAATCTCATGCTCCTAAATTTTTCTTAGAGCAATGCGGCATCTGGACAGTTCAAATGGATATTTTTAATTGCTAGGAAAAAAATTGAAACAAATGCTTTCCTTCGAAATTTATATATGGGCCCAATATTAAGGACACTAAGGCTGAGATTAGCGACATTAACCCTGCCTACTACATATCTAAAACGTCTACGTTCAGTTGGTTCGTCGATGGTTTGTCGCGAGAGACTTCCATGAGAACACTCTGGAATGTCGGCAGGAGAATGCAAAACACGTCATCACCGACTAACGAAGACAAGGAGTATTCGGACAGTTGGATATTCAGCTTCGCTCGGAAAGATTGCCCGGATTCGGTGTTGGTTCAAACCAACGTTCGTGATTGTCCGTCGGCTAATAACGAAATAGATTCCCCGTTTTCGATGGTGGAATTCTCACTTGCTCTCCTTTCATGTAACAATTCAGCTCCAGGAATGGATAGAATCAAGCTCAACTTGCTTAAACATCTCCCAGACGTCACGAAGAGACGCTTGTTGAACTTTTTCAATCAATTTCTGGAGCACAACATTGTTCCGGATGACTGGAGGCAAGTGAGAGTTATCGCCATTCGAAAACCCGGTAAACCCGCGTCGGATTATAACTCGTACCGTCCCATCGCGATGCTGTCCTGTATACGGAAATTGTTGGAGAAAATGATTCTTTTTCGTCTAGACAAATGGGTCGAGTCGAATGGTTTACTTTCAGATACGCAATTTGGATTTCGGAGAGGCAAAGGAACGAGCGACTGTCTTGCGTTGCTTTCAACTGAAATTCAACTGGCCTATGCGCAAAAACAGCAAATGGGTTCAGTTTTCTTGGACATTAAGGGGTATTTTCATTCGGTTTGTATCGATGTCCTTTCGGATGAACTCCACGATAGTGGGCTTTCGGCAATTATGAACAACTATTTGAGCAACTTGTTATCTGAGAAATATATGAGCTTCTCTCATGGAAACTCGACAACTTCACGAATTAGTTACATGGGTCTTTTCCAGGGCTCATGTTTAAGCCCCCTTCTTTATAATTTTTATGTAAAAGACATTGATCGTTGTCTTGATGAAAATTGCTCGCTAAGGCAGCTTGCAGAAGACGGGGTTGTGACCTGCAAGGACCATTGCAAGATACTTTTATATCCATTAGTTTTTAATAATTCTTTTAACTATTATTTACAGGAATTTTATAACATGAGTCGGAGGAATCAAAAACAGTTGTTTTTTGTTCTGCAGTCAACAGAATCTGACCTCGAGTGCCAGCTCGCTGTGTTACTTATTGTTTACAATCATTGCGTTCATTTCTATAATACATATACAAACATTCATTATTCGAGTGCTACACATAAAAGTTAGCTTATCGTTTTAAGGGTGGTATACACCATAGTTCTTCTCCCTTAAAATTATCTATTACTTCAAAATACTAATATTTAAACGTGTACTACGTTTTTTAATTTTCACGTTTAATTAATCAGCTCAATAAGGAGAACTTCAAAAATCAAAGGCAACTTGATTATTTCTGAAATAACAAATCACAGTGAAAACATCACATATACGGAATTCCGATAACTTTCATTTCAACACAAACCTTATTAGTAACATTCAAAGTGTTTTTTATGTTACTTCATACGCGAAGTTAACGATTTTCAGAGTTGGTTGGAAATGCTAACATGAAGCTTTAGTGTGATGATTTATTAGCTAGAGAATGATCTTCGGAAGAGGGTAGGTGGATAGTTCCGTTAGAGTACGGCAGTATAGGCCAGGGCTGATGGAATTCCATCTCAATCTTCCGTACAATGTTGCAATCTGGTAATTCTCCTACTCGTTTTCACTTAGCAGCCAGTTGGCTTTAAACGGATAGTTCAGTCACCGATGCAACTCCGCAGCCATACCGTAGATTTCAGCCAGTCGATAGACGAAGTAAATCTTCTTCAGTACTAACAACAAACCATACGAAACTAACGATTTTAAATTGGCTCACTACTTGACTAGCCTATTGGTCCCAAGCAAACGATTAACGTACCCCATTCTAGTCAAAATTCTAGTACTACACTATGTTTGTTTTGATTAGCTATGAAAGTTTGACAGATAAAATGAGGGGTTATTGGTTTTTCCTATGTTTCGAGGGGTGAATCGATTAGCTTGGGACCGAAGAGAGTACCAGAGCTGAGCCAAAAAGTTGAGCACGTTATTTCGAGACCTTCTGGTCTTAGAGTTACCTCTATGGTACTAATGCACATAGAAATCTTTTTACACGCGTCCCAAATTTCACTCTCGTCGCCACTTCTATATCCATTAGTTTTTAATAATTCTTTTAACTATTATTTACAGGAATTTTTTAACATGAGTCGGAGGAATCAAAAACAGTTGTTTTTTGTTCTGCAGTCAACAGAATCTGACCTCGAGTGCCAGCTCGCTGTGTTATTTATTGTTTACAATCATTGCGTTCATTTCTATAATACATATACAAACATTCATTATTCGAGTGCTACACATAAAAGTTAGCTTATCGTTTTAAGGGTGGTATACACCATATATACCTTAGACAATTTGTCTACTTGGGCTATGAAGCTAGGTATCGAATTCTCTCCGGAGAAAACTGAGTTGATTGTTTTTTCTAGGAGGCATCATCCTGCACAGTTTCAACTAAAAGGTAGAACAATCACTCAAAGTATATCTTTCATGTATTTAGGTGTCTGGTTCGATTCAAAAAGCACGTGGGGAAAACATATTGCGTATGTGAAACAAAAATTCCAACAATTAATCAATTTTCTTCGTAGAATTACCGGAACTTGGTGGGGAGCACATCCGGAAGATCTGATCAGGTTGTATCGAACAACCATCTTGTCGGTTCTAGAGTACGGGAGCTTCTGCTTTCAATCCGCGACGAAAACACATATCTTGAAGCTGCAACGGGTTCAATACCGTTGCCTCCGAATCGCGCTTGGCTGTATGCACTCGACGCATACGATGAGCCTCGAAGTACTCGCGGGTGTTCTCCCACTGACAGATCGTTTCGCGGAACTGTCCTTCCGGTTTCTTATCCGTTGTGAAGTAATGAATCCATTGGTAATAGAAAACATTGAGAAGCTGCTCGACAGAAATCCTCAAACAAGATTCATGAGTTTCTATTACGAGTACATGACGCTGGAGATTGGCCCTTCTTCATTCAATTCCTCTCGTGTTTGCCTCCAAGACTTTTGTAGTTCCTCTGTAAATTTTGATCTGACCATGTTGCATCGCATTTGTTCCGAATCGGGCTCGCAGGCAGCAATTTGTGCGCTTGTGGTAGTGGCTATCACGATATCGACCACGTGCTTTGGTCATGCACCCTCCATTGTGTTGCTAGATCCGAGTTATCCGCATCCCTCAGGGCCCGAGGAAAACAACCTTTGAGACATCTTGGCGAGCCGAGATCTCGATTATTTTAATTTAATTTATGTGTTTTTAAAACGGATCGATCTGAGGATTTAGTAGTTCGTGATATCTTGTGTTCTCTCAAATTGCTAGGTCTCCATCGGTGTACCCCCATGTTTGTCTTTTTCTCCAGTATGTCGCTTAGCTCTAGATCAAGAGCACATTGCTCTAAAAAACCTTGTGTTCTCAATCCCTACCCTGCCACCAGTTTTTTACAATTTGTTACCCCTAACCTCGAGATAGCCGCGAGTAATCGGCTCCCGCTTTACTAACGTTAGTTTTAAGTAATTTTGTAAACCAAACGATGGATATCGGCTCCGCAAAGCTACGGCAAATGAGCCTGAAAAAAAAACGCATTATAAAAAAATACAAACGTTCAGATAAGAAACGGTTATATTACGGGGGGTTCACGGTAGCGGTACTAATATCTATACAATCTTTCAACGTCATTGTGGTACCGTAGTCTGGGAGCAAATTGATCACCGGGTGAAATTTATAAAAATGCCTTGAGTTTTCAGCAGTCCCTTGACAATTTTTCGGTAAACAATATCAAAAAGAATCTTAGTAGTACTTTATCAAAAGGCTCTAATGGTTATCTTCACGAGATTTTCTCAACAAAAGTTTTACGTTACTAAATGACGTCTAGTAACTTACGATATAATCATTCAAACAAGCGAATATAGGGTTGTAACGACTGTTGTTATAAGCATAAAAGTCGTTTGTTGACTAAACTAATTTGGATACCTGCAGGTTATCAGTCTGTTTACTGTAGTTAATATAACAAACACAAAATGTGGGTACACTTTTAAGAATCTTCATTAAAAAAAACCTTCAAATTGACGTTCTAAGATCACGAATAGATTATTTGGTTGTGGAGTAATCTCTTCTAAAAGTAGATTTTTTTTTAAATCTCGAAAATCCAGGGTTGTAGCCCAGAAGGATCTAAGCACTTAAGAGCAAAATAAAAACAAAAAGTGTTTGTTCAGAATG